AGCAGGAAGGATTCAGGTGCACAACAGCCATAAATCCTGCCCTGCTCCACCGTGAAATCAGCATCCGTCAGGCTGGGGACATGGGAGCCGAGGGACGGGTTTTTAACGTCTTCATTACTTCAGCAACAAGGCGCAGCCAGGTGCATCCCCTGGGGTGGCATGGAGCCACCAGTGCGGCGCCGAGCCGGCAGGATGCCTTCCCGGAGACGGCACCGATGGAGCCATGCACTGAGGTTGAGAGAGCAGGCTGGGGGGATGGATGTGGAGCAGAGGCAGGGGCTGCTGGAGAGGGGAGGCGGAGGAGGCTGGCAGATGGAGAGCAACCCCTGCAGAGCCACTGACCCACCCCCCAAGCCCCGGGGAGAAGTCGGCAGAGCCAGCCCCCCGGCAGAGCTGTGATGGCCCTGCCTTACCTTGGAGCTCCCTGGCATAGCAGTAGACATCGTAAGCTTCATCGGCTTCCCTCTGCCCATAGCTGCGGACGCCCGGGAGGCTGTTGCGGTCTCCGTAGCAGCCAGGTCTGGAGTGCGTGATGGGGTACCTGCGGGGCAGCAGTGCCAGGGGCGTCTGGACCAGCCCAGAACTGTCCTCCTCTCCTGCGCCTTTGGGAAGCAGCAGCACAGACCCTCCCTCCCCCAGCACAGCGCCGGGGGGCTCTGGAGCATGGGCGCACAGGCCGGGGGCTCCCCAGTGCTCAGGGGGCAGCAGGACCAGGCACCGCAGAGCTTGGGCAGCAGCTCCCGAGCGCAGCCATGCAGAAACCCAGCTGCCCTACCGCAGCCCCGGTCCCGGCAGGGTGGGGAGCAAGCAAGGCCCCGTACCTGACACTCTGGTCCGACAGCCAGCCAGCATCGCAGTTGTCGTAGCCATCCTCGAAGGCTGCCTGCAGGTGTGCGGGCGAGGCGATGAGGGCCGAGCTGTCCCGACAGGCACGCCGCGCCTCCGCAAAGGTCAGTGCGTAGCGGTTGCTGGCGGCCCGGTAGTGGAACACGACACCTGGGCGGGGGGCAGCAGTGTGGGCACATGGAGCTGGGGAGGCAGCTGTGGGGCCCTGGCAGCCTGGGCATGGGCCTTTGCAGAGTGCCTCCATGGCACGGTGGGTGCCAGGGGCTGCACGGGTCACACCAGGCACCGAGGTCTCTGCTTCACCAGCAACGTGACTGTGCCAGCGTGCCCCAGGCCCCTTCCAGCACTGAAACCAAGGTGCCTGGACCCCTGGGTGTGGGGCACAGGGGCGAAGGAGCTCACCTGTCACCTCCAGGGGCAGCAGGTCCTGCTCGTCGTCGATCCCGGCCACCACCTCGCAGCGGTACAGCCCCGCGTCGCTGACACGGGCGGCACCCAGCACCAGGGTGGCGTTGTAGCGGTCGCGGGGGTACCCGGGCAGGGACACCCGGCCCTCGTAGGCCTTGGCTACCTTCACGGCGTTATCCTTGGCCACCAGGATGGGCTCGTCCTGCCGCTGGCCGGACGCCGACTGCACCTTGCTCCACTTGATGCGCGGCGGGTCCGGCGGGTCGTTGGGCCCCCGCATGGCCGAGGCGTGGAGCAGGAAGAGGCAGGGCAGGGCCACGGGCTCAGCCAGCCCCACCCGCACCGCCTGGTGCTGCACCTTGTGGATCCGGATGGCCTGCCCATTGTCCTGGGAGCCTGGAGGGCGAGAGGGCGGTGAGCCGGGCCCGGGGCTGGTCGGGATCAGAACCGAGCCCAACCCAGCTGCGAGCTGCGGTGGGAGCAGCCTGTGGCTTGGCAGCGCAGGGCTGGCAGCTGGCCCTGCACAGCTGGGCTGAGTGGGCCGGGCTGTGCCTCATGGCAGGAGTGTGGGCTGCAGCAGGCAGCCAGGTAGAAACACGGATGGGGGAGCAGAGCAGGGCAGGGCTCCCCTCTCCATGGGGCTCACGGAAGGAAAGCTGAGACCCCCCCCCAGCCCAGGAGCCAGCAGAGCCCCAAAGGAGCGGGGGCCAGAGGCCGCTGCGGGGGGTGTGAGCAGCACTGGGCCCTGCAAGGAACGGGAGGGTTGGTTGCCTGCTCCCTGGCTGGCCCCAGTCCCCGGAGCGA